CTGCAGCCAAATCTCCGAATCAGGTTCGACCGAATCGATGCAGGACAGTGATTTCAATCACCGAATTGAATCACTGTCCCCCGAATCAGCCAAATCCAAATCCAAAGCGAATAATAGCCTCTTCAAACAGGCTTAGTAGGCTGGGGAGAAGGAGAATGTTTCCTGATGAGATTGGAGACTTAATAAGTAATCTGGGCCTGGGTCATTCCCTAGGAGTTCCTTTATCTTGCTTCCAGGACCTCCCACACCTATGCAAGCATGGTAGGGGAGATCACTATTCTGTAAAACCTTCCCCTCCTCAGTGGGGACAGCGATTATTAGTCTCTGGGACAACACCCCCTCTAGGGCCACTTGTCACAAACTAATACAGTTCTGAGTTTTCTTGACCTGCTTTGGGCCTCCTCCATGCCTGCTACCATGTGTTTGTAAGAGGACCCATATAATGGGTGGTCTTCTTGGACCCACGTTGCTTGAGAGAAGGTTGGACCCTAGATGGGCAAGATTCATGTAAGATTTGTAAAGTGTCTTGTAAAAGTTTGGATTTGGTTAGCTATGGTAGTATCACTGGTAGTTTAAGCACGATGGCCCATAAACATCCATACGCCCATCTGTGGAACTCAATCCATAGTGTGACTCCATCAAAGTCAAAGTTACACCAGGGCTGATGTTAGTCAATTAATTAAGGTGACTGAGAGCAGGATTTGGGTTAATGCATTTTTTTTTAATTATTGTCTCACCCACAGTATTTACTCTGAAAGCCGTTTGTCAAAACAGGCAGCTGGGAAGATTTTCCTTTAATTATCTATTGCCACTTGTCCTAATGCTGTTACAGAAATGGAGAGTGATATCCAGCCCAAGTTCCAGTAGGCAAGCTGTATCTGCCAAAGACAGAGGGCTCAAAATGACCCCTAAGTGACAGAAGAAAATGCAGAGTAAAGCAAACTTAAATAATTGTTGTTTAGAATTTGCACTAGCTCCCAGAGGTGCCCCATGGAAGTGAGGTTCCATCATTCCAGATACAGCCTCAAAGAATTTGCAATCTAAGGCAGCAAGCAGCATTCAGAAGGCTAGAAAAGGAGACTCTCGGGTATAAACACCCATATTTGCTGACTGGAGGCAATTTTGCATCTACACAGTCTTTAAAATCCTTTTCAATCAAACGCTAGTTTCAAAATTAGATTAATGTGACTTAGATATGGGTAGCCTCTACCAAGCTGAAGATAGGGCACAAAAAGATTTTTGCTTTGACCTCTGCAGCCTTCATCAATCAAAGGAATAAGTGTCTTGCATGTGACTAATTAGCACAGGCTTAGATGAGATCAGTCACTAAAGGATCAAGCAGGGAAAATAAAAGGCAGAATGAGTACAATTGGTGCATTGTCATCATATGAGATAATTTTCATGCAATTGATGTAGAGGGTTTTACCAGCTAGCCAAACTAGACACAGCATGGATAGAGAAGGCTGTGTTGTTGCAGAAGGAATGCTGAGGAGCACTGCACCTGAAGTACGACGCCCGATGGAATATGGAGTACTTGAGGCCCTGTGACATTATGCCCCTTTATGAATCCATGCTGCATCCAAACCTTGAATACTGTGCCCAATTCTGGTCCCCACACCTCACAAAAGATTATAGAAGAACTAGAGAAGGTATAGAGAAGGGCAACAAGGATGGAAGGGCTCCTGTATAAGTTGAAACTAAAGAGACTAGGCCTGTTCAGTTTACAAAAAGGGATGCTTGAGGGGGGACATGATACAGGTTTACAAAATGCTAAATGGTGAAGAGAAACTACATATGGATTTATTGTTTACTATCTCAGTTTATTACTATTACTTTTATTATTACTATGTCTATTATTTTATTATTTCTATTATATACCATCTTTCATAATACAAGAAGTAGGGGCCATAACATGAAGCAACTAGGTAGCAAGTTTAAAGCTAACAAAAGGAAGTTCTCCACACAGCATACAACTAAAGTTAAAGAAAAATGTTGGCAACTTCACTGGAAAACAACTACTGCAAAAATATGCAGGCTCATTGCCATATAATGTTGTGCAAGCTGACAGCTGAGACGGATTCAAAACTGGTTTGGACAGATTTTTGGAGGAAAGGGGCATCAGTATGAGGAACTGAGCATGGGAGTGAGTGGGCACAGCCTCTGTCAGAACTTCGTAGACCTTAAATGCTGGAGGCTGCAAGTGAGAGAGGAAGAATGGGGAAAAAAACCCTTTATGATCCCCAGTTCACTCTTCCTTCCAGCCTCCACTCTCTGCCACTGTGTGACGCATGATACTGGGCAAGATGGTCCTATGATCTGACCCAGCAAATGGTAGTTCTTATGTTTTTACGTACATACTGGGCGCATCTATATGAGATGCTAACTGTGCAGTAGCCTAATAAGACTGCGCAGTAGCGTGTCAGGCAAAAACATGCTAATACGCTACTGCGCTGTTAGCTTCTGTAAAAACCCATGCACCAGTACTGCACAGTAGCGTGAGGTAACCAAGTACTAGACTTAATGCACAGTGACTATGAATGTGTAGATGTGCTAACTGTGATATACTGCCCTGTCCTTTACTTTTGGAGACCTGACCAGTGGTGCAGCTCCTGCACAAAGCAAGCTTTTGTGAATTCACTTTTTCCATTGTGAACTCCTCAGTATTTACATCTATTCTTTTTTTCCTGTCTAGGAAGCACATAGCACATTGTGGGTGAAGGCACAGATGCACAATAAAAATAATATGCAATTTGAACCACTTTCCAGTGTTAGTTGGACTCTAGGAAGACTGAGTAAGATCAGATGTTAAGGAGAGATCCAGAGAGGCACTCTAGGTGTCTCTAATGGTACTTAGGTGCCAAAATCCAAAAGAGTACTTTAGGAAACTCTTGCTCAGTAGGCATCTCTCCTTGGAAGTACCTAGATTTATTGGTGTCTCCATCTTGGATGGCAGAATTCCCTGGACACTTAAACTCAGGCTCTGATACATGCACACAGTAGGTGGGTATCTAACTCCTGCCTAGATTCTCTTGCAATGTAAGTTGCCGAAGAGGCCCAATCTATTAGGTGCGCTCTGAGAAGGCCTCCCACATGTCAACAACATGGAGGTCACTACAAAGTCTGTTACTTCCTTTCTGAAACATGGTGGAGGTGTCCCTGCTGCTAGCTTTTGCTTAAAAGACTAGTGTTTAGAGCACTCACTCACTGTAAAATTGGGAAACCTTAGCCTTAGGCACTTATCAACCTGAGAGGAATCCAGCCCATGACTGAAACTTCCTGGGGAAGTATGTTAACTCCAGGGTATAGAGCAGTATGGGCTAGTATCCCTCCTATGCAAACTGGGGCTCTGTGCTGCAAAAATGCAGAAATCCTAAGGCCAGAAAAAGAGCAAGCAAGAGGAAGCCTGTTTATCTTCATGGATAGAGCACACAGCAGAGAGAGAGGAGCCCCTAATTTCAGTCTCTGTTCTCAGGACTGTTTATATATTTCAAATTGGATAGTCACTGGAATTAAATCAGAATTAATGGACAGGCCCAGAATGAGGGCCTTCCTCCTCATTGCTGAGTGTCCTATTCCCTAGACTACAAAGTCAGCCCCCCTTTGTTTGCTCTTCTTTGATGACTTTTGAATTCATAGTGGAAGAGTGACTGAGCTCCAGAGGTCTCCTAGACTCGTCTATATGCCAGTGGTTAGGGCAGTCTCCCAGGAGGTGAGAGTTTTAACTTTTTTCCCAATGGCATGCTGGCAGCAGCACCAGATAGCAGCAGGAGGGGGCTCACTACATTCCCTTCCTCCTCCCACCAATTCCCACCTGAGGACTTCATGGCATATTGTCCCTGAAGTCCACTCTCCCTCCCTAAAATTCTTCCCATAGGTTTGTGTAGGATAGGCCTGGCCCTTTGAAAAGGCTGTGGAAGCCTAATGAAAGGAAAAGGCTTAACACCAACAATGGTGGCTGTCAAAGTACATGGGACAAGGCGTGCCCTGGCTGCTCAGCCATTTTGCCTGGCCACCAAGAGGGCTCCAGCACCAGCAGCACTAGGGCAGCATGGTTACTGCTTCTAGTGCAACCTGCACTTTAGAACTGTTTGCAAGGTTGACACTTCATGTGACAGGAGTGGAGAAAGAAAGGGATCGATGGTGCTGAAGGAACTTGCTCATCTCAGCATTGGATGGTCCTGGCTTCAGGTCATATGTTATACTGAGCAACAGACTTTCCAGTCATTTGCATGTGACACCAGACAGCAGCAGAGACAGAAACATAGAGCCCTGGGGACCTCACAGCCTCACATATGCAGGTACAGAGAAGGAGGAAACCATCTACATTAATATGTATTTAAATGAATTAGTGATGTGCAGTAAGGGGGCATTTCAGGAGAGACTGTTCAGAAACGGGGGAAAAACACGTACATTGATGGATAATTTTAATAGCATAACAATTATTGACCATCAGTTCAGAGTCACTTGAGAGTACGGGGAAGACCTACAGGAAGCACACAATGGTTGTTGGTTGATAGGGAATAATTTCAGTGACAAGTCTCCAAAGATATTTCAGGTGTTTGGAGCTGTCAAGCTACACACTTTTCTTCTAAGTTTTATTGTAGTAACTCTCTCCTTCCCTACTGTTTGTTAAGATCACTTTTTGTGTGTGCTGTTTAAATTAAGCCTGGTTCCTCCAATGCATGGGTTCATAAACACAGCATACTCCTCATACAGAGCCCCAGCATCCTTGGTGCTCCCCACCTTAGTATCACTGTCTGGTCTTATGCAGTCCATTGCAGAGCCCATGTCTTTAGGTTTGTACAGTACCAGGCACAAAGGATACCCTGTCCTGACTGGGGCCTTCAGAAAGGATTTCCTTGAGACAAATGTTGATTATAGTAATCATAATGGAGTTTGCACGCGTCCCGAAATTTAGATTACCACACAGTTTGTTTACAGAAAAATTTAATGAGGAATTCATTGATTCTATGAAACTCTAATGCTTTTTTCCCCTTCAGGTTGCTTTGCTACCAAACAATGCTGGTGACCTTAGCAAACACATCACTGGTGAAAAGGTGCTTGCTTCCAATGCCTACATACCAGGCCCACCTGGCCAGCCAGGGCACCGAGGCCCTCCAGGTAAGACACAAGCTAGGAAAAACAAAGTATAATGAAATAGCAGCCTCAATAAAAAAAATCCTATCCCTTTCCATTGAATATGGTCCAATGTGCAATACTTATCTCTTCAAAATGGCTGTCTTACTGTTCTCAGCCTTTACCAACCCATGACATCCTAATCTTTCCCATTTTCTCTTCATCAAACATTTCCTTACCCATGAATGTTATATTTCCATCTCTCCCACATCTTGTCTTTTTTAGTTGCCAGCTCTCATTTTTCTAACTCAATCTGAAACATTCCTCATTTCTTTTTTTTAACTATATTTATTGTTGAATCCACCTCATCAAGTAACAAATTCCATTTCATTGCAGAAATGCCTGGTATTTCAGCCTATTGTCATTAAACAAGGAAAAATGCTTTCTGTTTTCAGAGATTTGTGCAAACTTATTTTTCTCCATGCTAAGACTCTGATTGAAACGTGCTGCTTATTATCTTAAAATCATTCTGTTAGGTCTGACTCCCTGTACTTCTATCATCTAGTCTCTCAATGACCTGAGCTGTCCAAGGTACTGTAGAGTTGTGTTTTTGTACTTGAAAAACATCTCTCCTAATCTCCTGGGCCGTTAGCAAGCAGACACAATGAGATTTTTCTATGAGAATATATCTTAATTTGTTATTTGTTCAATAAATGTCAATCTGAGTTATTTGGCTTACAGTTATTGGATGAGTTTGCCTCTTAGGGCGCATCCACACATGCAAGCACATGCGCTTGCAGCAACTCAAATAGAAGTGGTGCAAATTTGAGCCAGGGCTTTTTGCCTTAGTGCACATGCTCGGACATGTACTTTGTAGTGGAGCAAATTGTGCCACTTGGGGCAAAATAATCCTGTCTGGCTCCTCCCGGATCTGCAGCCAGGGGGGAGCTAGAGCCTGGGGCCAGCACCTGTGCTGTCCCCAGCAGTATAAAAGCTGCCCTGTCCTGCCCCATCAGTACAAAAAGCTGGCCTGACAAGTAGTTCAGGGCTACTCACTGTCAGGTGCTTTTGGGGCCCAGCCAATTGGTACCTGGGCACACTACCCCTTGTGCCAGCTGGACTGCTGAAGCAGCCCTGAGAGTTCCTTGCACCCTCTACACACTGCAGCAGTCTGGTAGTGGGGGCTGCTGCCTGGCTGTGACCTGCTGCGCACCCACCAGACCCAGATGAG